AACGGGCAAAATATCGGTTTAAAAAGTCTATTTTGGTGACTTGCTCCCAATGTCCTTTCCTCCCTCGAAGTTTAAAAAAAAAAAATCGATTTTTTGAGCGTGGACACTTACATGAAGTATTTACACGAAAATTACTCTTAAATATATATTTATATATTTAAGTATGAAGATATTTAAGTATGAAGATATTTTTTTGGGGGGGGGTTGGGGTTATGCTTTTTTTACTCACCCTGTACGATGATCATTCGCACAGTTAGAAGACGAATTGGGACAAATGATTAAAAATTGCCGAGCCATGTTACTGTGATAGGCACTGACGAGTCGAGTCCAGAAACACTTTTTAATAGAGCCTGAAAGTAAACCGAGGTCACACGACGAGCTTCAGTCTGGACCCCTCGCGCGGCCCGCCTAAATGGGAATTTTACAGTCTGAGTCAGTAAATGTTCCTTTCACCAATTATAATTTTTGACAGAACCAGGGACGGATCCAGGATTTTTTTTGCAAAAAAGAGGGTTCATCAGCAAAACAGTATGCAATTTTGACATATTTTCCATCTGGATACTTGGCCTCCTAAAATCAACCGTTTGGGTGGGGTGGCGGGGGGGGGGGGACTCTGTTCAAATCCGATGATTGTTCTAATCCGACTCTGTTCCAACCCGACGATTATTAACACTACATTACAGAACAGTGTACAAATACCCCCTAAACCAAGCTGGCTCTGTCAGTATTTTTAGAACAGGCGGACATTATTACCAGTATAATTTTTTGGATGGTGTCAGAGCAGGATGAGGGGTTTCGCATTATTTGTAAGGAATTTCTATGAATAAAAAAATGAACAGAGCGGGGGGTATCCCTAAACACCCCTCCCCCTGGATCCGCGGCTGAGAACGTAACCCCAAGAAATCACCCCAAGAACCTCCAAGTCTCCTTGTTCGTTCACGTTTGTTTTCTGATCGCGTACTTGCGTGGGAGCGAAAACGTATGACGGGAAAATTTACCCACACCGCCGATAGGTTCTAGATTTAGTCGGGCTGACTTGAATGCAATCCTCATCAGCGATCATTCTATATTTGTTGTGTAAATGCTAATGTAAATGCTAAAAAAAAAGAAATGCTAAACTTCAAGTTTAATTAAAAACAATAGTACGTCCTAAAAAAAAAAAATAAGTCTCCGATTTAAGTTTAAGTTTTTATCAAATGACCGCCACATGCACAATTGTTTTATACATTTTCATATTGATACCAGTAGACCATGTTCTACTAGTCCACATGTATTTTAGATTTTCGGAAGTGAGAGAACAATTTTCGGCACAATGATTTTTCTTTTACGTCAGGTTATTTTTTAAACAGATTTCATAACTGGAGATGCTAGTAACAATTTTAAAGGGATTTTTTTTACTGGTGATTTTCGTAAGAAATCAATGTACACAAAATTATTGCGAATGTTATAATTTGTGTACGTTAATTTCCTATTCGGAAGCGCGCCACCAGGTGTGAATTTTCAGGTTCTATTTCCCTTAATTATGAGCCCCGTAAAAACGTACTTACATGTACATGTTATTTGTTGTGTGATGTAGAAACCCAATTGCTAACTTTTTGAATCACATGTATGCACATCCTTTGCACCTGCTCTGCACATGTACATACACACACCCATCTTCGTAAACACCGGCAATCGTGCAGGCACGGAACCAAGGGTGGAGAAACCCAGCTCTGTCATTTTTCCCCATAGAAATTCATTAAATATAATGCGAACCCCCCCCCCCCCTCCCCCCTCCCTTCTCTGACCCCGTAATAATGTCCGCCTGTGAACAAAATACGGACAGAGCCAGCTTGGTAAGGGGCTATTTGTACGTAATACAATATTAATAATCGGACTTGAACAGCCAAATGTCCCGACAAAAAAAGACCTGTCTACATTCAGCAATGATTTGCTGATGACCCCCCCCCCCGCAAACATTCCTGGATCCGCCCGTGATCGTGGACCCCCTGTTGTCCATAATCCTCATATTCCTTTGTTTGTACTTGAATCTTTTAGCAACAGCTCTCATTGGTTTTGTACACAAATTTCAATCATGGACCTTCTGTCAATCATGGACGTATTGTTTGTGCTCTAACCCTTTTGTCCCAGGTCCACGATTGCCGGTGTAAACTAATATACTCACCCACGCAAGTACGCGTCTAGTGCATGCATTCACAGCGCACTGAAGTGGAACGCCTGTAAAAGTGTAGCTTGTCGTGCTTCTGGAAAATTGTAAACTAAGCTGTTTCGGAGTACCTGTTCCGAAAAAGCTCTTGTTTTCTTTAATTTGCCCCCCCCCCCTTTTTATTTTTCTTTTCAGACTCCTCTCCATAGGTTTTGTACATGGTTTCTTCCACCCATTACAAAGAGATTTACTGGATTACAAAGAGATTTACTGGATTATAAATAGAGATTTTAATACTGGATTGTAAATACAGAGTGTAAATACCTAACCTGACTTTTATCCGAAACAGCTCTTGTTTTCTTTAATTTGCCCCCCCCATTTTTTTTCTTTTCAGACTCCTCTCCATAGGTTTTGTACATGTTTTTTTCCACGTGCACGTGGAGCGTGAGCAATAATCTATGTTCTCCCCTCATTAATTTTACATTTTAACGGAGAGAAGCCTGGAAACTACTGACAATTGAAGTTACTCTTATTCAAACCCAGGTGATGACTCCATCATCAAGGAACCATTTTACGCCACACCCGGCATCTACTTGCAGAAGGGCCAGACTTACCACATGCCATGCCCGATCCGAAGAGAAGGCGAGAAAGTCACGCTATTTTTGTGGTATCAAGGAAAAGACCTTGTTGCCCGACATACGATTGTAGCGGGGGATACGAACTTCACCCAGAGTGATCGCTTTGAATTGTCTGGCACGTATGGTCTGATAGTCAGGCAAGTTGAACAGAATGATGGCGGAACGTACACTTGTGAGGTCATACCCGATGGAAGTTCCAAAAGCAGACGAAGCTCAACCGATGTCACGATATTAGGTGAGTTGTAGACCTATAGTATTAGTGAATTGATTCCGACGTCATGAATGGCCTAGCATATCGCGTTTGCAAAAGTCTTACAGCGAGGATATTATGCATCATATTATTTATTTTTTTACTTTCCGTTTCTCCTTATTACCGAAAATGCTAACATTGAAGCCCGCACCCAAATCATATTGTTTTTGGTTGGCTCGAGTCCACATATTTCAACACGTTAAAAGCCCTCCATGGAGCCATGTGATTAACAATAATGTCCACACCTGTGTGTTTTGTGTAGTCCCTAAGGCAATATATAGGCTGTGGGAATTTCTTCAGCCAGGTCCGAGTCACTGACAAGAATTATTTTTCTCCACTGTATGATTTGTATACAAACGAGTTAGCTGGACTGTAGGTGCATGTCTCCGTGGGTGGTATCTCACATTCACGTGCTCCAGCATTGGTTATAAGTTGTATGGATTATTCAGGAACATACAGAAATGCAATAAGTAGGCCTTGTAGAACAATCATCATTTGCAGATATTTTCATATTGATTAAACACCTAACGAGAAATACGGTAGCAGCCGAGGGTTTCACTGTGACCACTTTGTTCGAATCCTTTTCTTCAGATAAACAGTTTCCCGTCGTTGATGACGCTGTGGCGACAAGGCAAGAACAGAATCTCACCCGCGGAGAACGACACGAACTTCCATGCCCCGCTGCACTACCAGAAAACGGAAACCGCCGGGCCACTGTTTACTGGTGTTTAGACACCGGGGAGTCTGATTTTACAAGTATCATCGGAGTCAGGTTCTCAGACGAACAAACTAAAGTTTACCTTGAGGAATACAACATCACCGTCGATAGTTCATTGGTTATCAACTCTCTGAAAAGCAACTACAGTCGTTTCTGGTGTCATCTCTCTGTGTCAGGATCATCAGTAAAATCTGGGTATATCGATGTCAACGGAAAAGGTACACCATTTTGGGGTGGTTGATATAGGGAAAAGAGCAGTTGGGAATCGATTTTTTTGTGGCTAGTTACAAATTCTTTCGGAGATTTTGATATAAATAATGTTGTGCTCTCTGTGTTAGGATCACTATTAAAATCTGGGTATATCAACGTAAATGGAAAAGGTATAGGCCTAGGCCTACCCTTTTGGGTGGTTGATTTAGAGAGGAACAAAGATGTGAATCGACGTTTTTGTGTGTGTGTGGCTAGTTACAAGTTCTTTATGAAATTTTTGATAATAAATGATGTTGTGTCTTGTTTTGTCTAAAGTTGGCTTTTTTATTCCTGATTTCCTGTACCAGATACGAGACCAAGCGCGACGCCCACTACTCATGAGCCCGGACATGTTGGAAATGTGAAGTTCAGTGTGATAGGTTTAATTTTCGGTCTGTTGGTAGCAATTGCATGCTCAGTTGCGATTGTTCTATTCATGTGGAAACAAAAGAAGTGCAGGGCTCAGGTACCTGGGGATCGGATACAACAGAACCAGCAAGGTGGCTATCTATGACATTCATAGTGCTCTGCAAACAAAAACAATTATTCTGAAAAGTTCAGTGCTGTTGTTTTAGGCCATGATGTGGTTTTAAAATAGCCCCTATAGCAGAACTCAAGATCACAAATTGTCTCATGTTCACTCTAAAAGTCCCTGATCAGATTTGACCTGATACTTTCATGTTCATAATTACACTGTACATTTCAAAATAACACTTTCCTGGATAATTACAGGTATAATTTTAAACCAGAAAATGTCATTTAGATCAAATAGAACCCGGGATCCGGGTCCAATATGACCTGGGTCTTTTTAGAGTACTGTTTGGATGAGCCCTTATTGACACATGATTTTGCGTAATGGATGGTACAACTTTACAAGACTACCCTTAATACCAGTGGTAGGCCTATATGCATGCAATTAGTATTTCGGACCTTTTGATCCATGTTTCAGAAACAAGTGTTGATCCGATTACAAGTGAGGGACACCAAGATGAAACCACGATGGCGCCTGGAGGTATAATTTCAAACCAGAAAATGTCATTTAGATCAAATAGAACCCGGGATCCGGGTCCAACATGACCTGGGTCTTTTTAGAGTATTGTTTGGATGAGCACTTATTGACACATGATAATGCGTAACGGATGGTACGTACAACTTTACAAGACTACCATTAATACCAGTGGTAGGCCTATATGCATGCAATTAGTATTTCGGACCTTTTGATCCATGTTTCGGAAACTAGTGTTGATCCGATTGCTAGTGAGGGACACCAAGATGAAACCACGATGGCGACTGGAGGTATCTGTGTTTTGTTGGGTTTTTTTTTCGATTCAAAAGGTTGTCTTTTACTGAAATATAAGGGGATGGGGAGAAGATGCGTTCCTTTATAGTTGTACGTGATCGCCAACAGTTCCAAAGAGCCCAAGGGTATATAGATGCATGTGTTATTTATCCATAGAGTGACTTGTCGGTTTTGATTCTTCACTTCGTAGATCAAAATCGTTTCAGCTGATTTGTTTCTCATTTATTTTAGACGAGGGTTGTCACGAATTTACACCTTTGACTGAAGCCACTGGAACTGATACATCAGGAGATTCAGGTGGGACGTTCTGTACAATAATAGTACAATACACAGAAATCAAGTAATGAGTATACCTGAACAATCCCTTTCATATACAACTGTGTTCCATTTTGCACAAATAGGCTGTGCTGCAGTAGTGCCAATTCAAAAGTCCAGTCACAAGTTAATAAATCCATTCACACGTATAGTGTCACATAATAGAGGTGAACACTAACAAATGACCTTGCAAATATTATTGTCACCGTCCATTTGAATAGATTGTGAGTTGAATTAGGAATGCATGACTCATGGGGACTTGTAGGGTTTTGTGAATTGATGGACTTCACTATAGCACTACAAACAGGTAAAGCAGGACACAAGATTATTCAACAGTAAGTGTTTGATATTGGAATGAAAGTATCTTGTGAACAACACAGAGTTCTGAGATACATTTGCTTAAAATTACTTAAATGGAGATCGGGGGTATCCAATGATATTATGCAGGGGAAAAGTAATTAGACCTTCTGGTATAACATTCACGATGAATAAAGCAAGACCCCAGTGACTTTTTAAAAACCTGTTCCACGATGGAAGTGTAATGCTTGTTCGTTTTTTGAACTTTAAAGATGGTACTATACGTGAAAATAATGGTGATCAGTTAGTACTAATGCCACCTACAGTTAATGCAGTCAATATCTTCCCTGCAAAATATTCCGGCTTTTTCAGAAATGCTCACAAACGTGTTTTTTGGTTTTGGTCAGATACGAAAGACGACGAATCGTCATGTTTGACTGCAGACACTGCAGCCAATACGCGTCATACAACAAGAGGTTGTGATAAGAGAGACCTAGAATTGAAATCAGTTTTACATTGAAGCGCAGAAACGAAAGGGCATGTTGCAATATGTTGGTGATATGGTATTAATATCAGTAATCTTTGAATCTGTCAGATCTGAAAGCAGATCAATCGTCACCATGCAAGTACTGCAGCAAATACACCTAATACAATGCGAGGTTTTGGTAAAAGAGAAGTATACCCGTTTAACGTTTTAAGTTGCATAACGCAAGGTGTTGTCTTAATAGTTTGGCGATTTGGTAATGTAATAGAATAATCCTGACAAAACTAATTTGAATTATTGGCATGTTGCTTTGTCCTCGAAGTCAGACGTTTATTCAAAAATTTGTCGGGGATTTCCCAACCTTAGCCCTGGTTTCCTGAGCAGTGCGCGAAACCTATGTCAACTATGAAGTCAGTGAGCACATCTATCGTCGAGTTCATAGGTAGAACAAGCCGATTTGATCATAACCAATATGAATGCATACAAACGGCAATGTTTTAATTACACGGGTAGACCATACACCAATATATGTTGCTCATACCCGTGTTTAATGGATTTGGTTTCATGGAGTATGTCGAACAATATTACGTCTTTTTTGAATTCATGCTAATGCGATGATTTACTATTTATGAATTTTTTATTACAGTTGTTAACAAAGAAGATGGAGAAATGACACCTGAAGACAATACACCCTTGATGGCAGGTAACGAAGCAGATGAGAAAAGAGGTATACATTTTACTTTCTTCGAAAACATATAAAGATGACATGATTAAGCAGTCTCCAAATAGTAAACCATGAGATCTTGAAAAAGAATCGTTTTGATCGATTGCATTTCACTCTAAATCGCCTTGTCCCTATAGTTCTCAGATAGAGGGCGTGTATTTTCACTCTAGAACAGTGATGTTCTTTCTTCTGTAAAAGAAAGAGTAATCTAAACATTTTGATACTTTCAGGTTCAAAATTACACTGTACATTTCAAAATAACACTTTCCTGGATAATTACAGGTATAATTTTAAACCAGAAAATGTCATTTAGATCAAATAGAACCCGGGATCCGGGTCCAACATGACCGGGGTCTTTTTAGAGTATTGTTTGGATGAGCCCTTATTGACGCATGATTTTGCGTAACGGATGGTACAATTTTACAAGATTACCCTTAATACCAGTGGTAGGCCTATAAGCATGCAATTAGAATATCGGACCTTTTGATCCATGTTTCAGAAACAAGTGTTGATCCGATTGCAAGTGAGGGACACCAAGATGAAACCAAGATGGCCACTGGAGGTATTTTTTTTTCGATTCAAAAGGTTGTCTTTTACTGAAATGTATGGGGGAGAAGATGCGTTCCTGTATAGTTATACGTGATTGTCGAACAGTTCCAAAGAACCCAAGGGTATAGAGATGCAAGTGTTATTAATTCAAGTGTTATTTATTTTGATTCTTCACTTCGTCGATCGAAATCGTTTCAGATTTGTTTATCATTTCCTGCTGATTTGTGTGTTTCCACTCTAGCACAATGATTTTCTTTCTTCCGGAATTGAGTAATCTAATTTTTTTTTTGTTTACAGATAAGGTATGCCTGAAAAAGCAAGGGAGCAGAGAAGTTGATATAACAGGTTTGTTTCAGTCATAAGAGACGAAAAATATAGATTTAATTTTTTCCTGGGCCCAAAGGGCCAGTTCGTAGTAAGTCGTCTTTGTACTTATCTGATTTTACTAACACTTTGACTCACCGACTAACTCTCAATTTTAGCCAGGCAGTATTCGTATATGAATACCTCGCAGCGTCAATGAATGAGTTGAATCCAGCCCACTGTGTAGAACAGATGCATGAACAGATTTCTAGAGAATAGCCATTGTGGGCCATAAGTATTCATTTATGTGCAGCCTGGGATCAGCTTTACAGGACTTGCCTTGTCGTGTTATAAGGTTATCAAAATGCTGTCTAAGAAAGACGTGCTTTATTTGTTGACCAAAATTTAACCAACATCATTTTAATGTGTACCTTGTTTTATAGATCAGGAGTTCATTTGGAATTACCTAGGACAGTTGATTACCGAGCCTGCTCTCGAGGTGAATAATATGAGTGGTTTCCGGGATATCAAAGACGTCATCAGTATCCAAGATGGCGGCGTGGTGGTCATTGATTTAAACGGCTTGCATCGATTCACGGTTGAGTATCATTATCGTTTTATTGATCTGTATTCAGCTTTAGGTGACAGTTGTTACATTTGTGTTGCAGATTTTACGGATGGCAAGCTGCTGTTTGGTTTGAAATGGGGTAAACTTGTAAGTTTCGATATTGCAAACAAGCAGATAAATAACTTTGGCTCCGTCACCCCAGCAAAAGATAAGATAGTGCGATTGAATGGTATAGCGGTGAATAGTGGGTTCGTGTTTGCAAGTGATCACAGTGGGAAAACAATCTCAGTTTTTGATCACGAGGGTGTGTATTTGAAACGCTTGGATGCCACAAGTATTCAGCCAGGGTCTCTGGCACTTCATGTCCGTGAAGGGGCGCAAAGTGTCTTCGTCACATCGGGTCTAGTAGTAAAAAAGTATCATATTTCCGGAGACAAGAAACAAACCAAGATGAAACAGACTCACCATTTTGACATCGACAAAGAAACTCTAGAATTCAAAAGATTCAAACCTGGTCATATCTCCGTGCAAGAAGACAAGCTTTTGGTGGTAAACCATCTGAAAGATCCCGGGTTACTGCAGCTTTTACAACTGAACGTTTACAACGGGGCATTCATGCATAGCATTATAGCTAAGGCACCTGGTATTCGTGGCGTGAAGTTCATCAGTGGAGACAGGATAGTTCTCTATTCTCGTGACTCAGTTCACGTACTTAAAAAGGGTGATGCAAAACAGTAATAGTCATTTATGATGAAAGCCTTCTCATACAAGACCTGGTTTTTAAAGCGCAACACTAAGAATTCAATACCCATGATTGAAAACAGGCATAATTTAAGAGCCTTCTGGAATACTCAAAGTGATTTTGGCAAGCAAATATGCCGTTACAGCTAATTGCATGGGTAAGGACAAAATATAAAAAAAAAAAAAAAACATCATCAAAAACTGATTTTTTTTTCCTCACTATAAAAATGTAATATTGTAAACATTATAAACTTTGAAGTGTGATTTTTGTAAAATAGCCAACGAGCGTCTAAATATTTCCCGATTTTATTTTGTCGATTTTGGCAAAATATTAAAACATTATTATAATATTGTTCTCAAATGTATTAAAGCGTTGTAATGTCATTAAAATGATTATGGCACTTAACGTGGACAAACACGTAGGACTGCGAAAGTCGAGGGTTATGACCTGTCAACCCTCTGTTTATTACATGCAATTTTGTAATCATCGTGTGAACGTTGACCCTTCGGGTATAATTTGCATAGGGATTTTCCACAGCCTAAAATAAAATGGATGATTATGAACAACCACATAAAACCATGCTTTCTATTGGTATGAGTCTGTAATGGTTAACTGCTCAGTTCTCGTTTAGCATATCATGCAGGCGTATACTAGGGTTCTCGTTTTATAGCTGCATATTTCGGCCGGCTGTATGCACACTTCATGCATTTACATGTATTAAGTACGTGTGTATTGTACTGTTCCCTGGTTGTGTGGCTCTTTTGTTTGTTATTGTTGGTTTTGATTTGTTTTGCCTAAAAAGCTCTTTTAATACATTTCACGGAACGGAATATAAATTAGTACAAATTCGAGACTAGAAGTCCGTCGTTTCCTTGTATCATTTGACTGATTCCATTCGCACTGCAGTTTGGTTTCCTTTTTTAGCATAATCCACAAAGTGTGATAACATGTAGGAATTGGCGGGGATGCTCCTTGTATATAACTGTTGATGCATCTCGGACCAATGCAGTCCGTATACTCTGATGTTTGTGTAAACTTTGATTGCAGCCAGTTGCACAGAGAACGCTGTTAAACGGATATGAACAGATTTGTGTATTGATATAACATTTAGACTACGGTTACTAATGCGTATAGTCGTGACTACAGTCAATGTTTATTCGACCCAAAAGGTGAAGGGTCGTACAATCACAATGACAATGTAAACAGTTTCTTATTTTGCTATCGTTTAGCTGCATTACTGAGTCTGCTGCTCTAGGTGTGATGCACGTTCGAATCGCACTTTGCCCCAGACATGCCTCGTTTGTCACGGATGTTGATTGGACTATGACCTGATGGAGTATCGATCTTTGCATTAATTCCTTTTCAAATAAGAGACAGAGCATCATTATGGTTTAAATTAGGCAGAATTGTTGCTTTATTTACAGCGGTACTGACACTGAGCTATGTAGATTTTTGAATTTCTGGATATTTTCAGAGAAGTAACATGTTTTTCTTTGAGCCTTTCCACTCACTGTATTTGCATATTCTGGTAATTTTGATTTAGTATTAATCATTTTCGTTTACTATATTAGTGAATATTCAGAAAATGAGAGGTTTGCGGAAACCGCACGTACGAATAATTTCTCAACTAAGAGAATGGTTCTGAAAAGAACCAGAGGTATTAACTTGACGTTTCGGTCAGTATGCTCTGACCGTCTTCAGAAAAGAATTATTCAGATTTCGATATTATTCCACAAACGTACTGGGTATACAAGTCTTGATATAATGTCTTTACATGCACAATTTACGCTAGATTCTGTTTCTGTATACCACATAAGCATGTTGATTTCTGCATTTTTAAGCATGTATAGACTTTGCTTTTATACAATCTAATGTACTGCCCGCAAGGGAATCACATTTCAACAGTTGCTGTACATCCATAATTTATATAGCTCACGTAATTAGCTAAAAGTGAAAACAGTAAAGTCTAGTCTTAACTGTATTGCCAAATTATTTTAGACGGAAAGTTTCATGATTTCCTACTTCAGTAAATGTATTTGTTTCTATGATATTTCAAAATTTGCTGTAGTACTTCCGTTTACAAATTATAAATATACTACGAATAAATTCATGTTATTATCCGCCTTATAGATTTCGTGTATTTTACGTGCTGCTTTATTCGTATTTTGTGCTTAATTAACCTTTAACCTTTTTGGAGAAATTATATCAGCTTAATAAATGCATTTTAGGGTCACCCCTAAGTGTCTTTGTAAAAGCACTGTGTTAATATGTAAAATATATATACATGGTGGTGGGAAAAAGGAGAGAACCCACATTTGACAGAAATGGTATCAACTTACTCAACAAATTTGCAATGTTATTTTTTTTTGTATATGTAGTGAAGTATAGCTCTAATTGGTGACAAAAATCTTTTAAGAATTCACACAAATTGTGTCACCAAAATTACTGTTGTCCATGTCTAAGTCTAGTGCAGTGTTTTTATCGTTTTCAGATCAAGCTCCGAGGCTTAGTCAGGCGGATAGAATAAACCCGTATCCGGACAAACTGGTTTAGTACATGAAATTTGTCAACTGCCATATCTGAGAGACAAAATATAAAGTTGCAATAATTTTGTTCGTTACTTATTTTAAATATCAATGTTTTAATACCATTAAATTATTTTTTGTTACATATGCTCAACGAGTAGCTGAAAATTGCTTTCAAAAGTGGGTTTCCTTCTTTTTGCACCACTCTATACATCTATTTTGTTGAAATATTCGAAAACACGTACACTCGGCTTCATTACAATTTGCCATCCGAGTTCTCTCCAAATAACACTGACTTTGAAAAACAGTGTATTTTAACAACTAGAATTCCAGGAGAAACCACGAATAGTTTCAGTCACAGAAGCTGTTTTTACATGAGGTGGAATGGAACTCATGCCATGCAAACCATGGTCAGACGTTAATTTGAGAAAAGTAAACATCTTCATGTGTACTTGTCAGCCACAAAGTCTTCCATTGCCAGGTATATCTATACATGAATAAACCCAAAAAAAAGAGAAACACATTCTCATTGGATATTTTAATAAAGTATGATTGTCATTTTCAGTAACATTTACAGGGCACATGCAATATAATTGTTTAAAATGCAAAGACCCAAATTATACAGTCTATCTTTGTTCCCTGTTCAACCTTATTGTTTTGCCATTCAAGGGGGTTTCAAGGGTATTGTAATGCTGTTTAGTTTGGTTTATTTGCTAATGTGAATTTCCATATTCATGAGCAAAAGTGTGTTATTATTTTAGGTAGAAACATCAATGTTTTTTTCAGCAGCACATGTTACATCTGAACAGCGCCCTCAGATTTCCAGAAAAGCATGGCCAAATGTTTCGCTCGTACCCTCCGCCCTGCAAACAGGACCCTGGGATACTCTGATGAGCTTTACAGAATCTTGTGAAGGAAGTGGCCTATGACCTATGTATAAAGCATCTGGCTGCAGCTGTTCAAGACCGCACTTAGACAATGTGCACAAATGCTATCCGAAAACGTTCCATAGAAATGCGCACATTCCATACCGGATGTGATTTATGTTTCATTGCGGCCCATGTGGACACAATTTTGAGCATTGCATAATGCAATCCGACCGTTCGTGACTCAAAATGGAGCCCGACCAAGTGACTGGAAGTTGTAAATTTACAACACATGTAAGTTTTACAGAATTTCCTACATTATTACGCTTTTCAACGAGAAAAAAAAAACATCTCGAAACTGGAATTAAAGAGTAATAAATCAGTCTTAACAGCCGTTTAAAACTTTGCAAAGTCATGACCATGATGACGCGCAGGTCACAGGTCGCGCAAAATCCAACCAATCAGATCGTGAATTCATCAGAGTATCCCAGCGTCCTGTTTGCAGGGCGGGGGGTACGAGCGAAGGCCAAATTTGAACGTTTGAAAAAATGCACTTTTCAATACCATTAGCCAAAAGGACATGTCGTATAATTTTCACCCATTTAAAAGGAGAAGAGAGTTGCACAGAATAACTTTCCTAACAAGAATTCCTTGCATGGACCTTTGAATCATTTGAACCTTAAAGTGTGTACAGTGCAATGTGCCGCCAAGATCTTGTTGTTAGTTTCGACCACATGGGCAAGAATTGGGTAATACCATAGAGGATCATTTTCTGACCTCATTAAAAAAAAGGCTTGGCCTGACGTATGCCAGTATTTGTCTATTCCCAATCATCAGATAATAAATGAAATGGCTCACCTGCGAGTCGGGAATCATAATGTCCAAGATCCTCTTTAAATTGCTGAAAGACGGGCGACGTGTGGGGGAAATTCTCCAACACTCCTTCATGACTGTATAACTAAGAGCGGAAAAAATCAAACATTTGGTACGCAGACCTTGGAGATCTGCATGGAAAAGATTCAGTGATTGTAAATTGTAATGATTGAATTTGCAATATTGTAGCTATCGCAACAAGTGTTTTGTGTTTGTTAATAACTTGAGAAAGTAAAATTGTCATCACAGGCTTAGTCCTCAAGAGCTAACAATAATTAAGTTAATCACATGTGAATAACATGTCCCAGGTCAAGGGCAAGCTAATCAAAATGAATGTTGTCACAGTCTTATCTTTGAAAGTAAAATTGTAATGATTGAATATGCAATATTGTAGCTATCGCAACAAGTGTTTTGTGTTTGTTGATAACTTGAAGAGGTAAAATTGTCATCACAGGTTTAGTCCTCAAGAGCTAACAATAATTAAGTTAATCACATGTGAATAACATGTCCCAAGTCAAGGGCAAGCTTACCAAAATGAATGTTGTCACAGTCCTACTTTTGTAAGTTTTTGTTCCCTCATGTTACCCCTGACCTCACTTGGGATTTAACTCATTAGTGTAAAATCAAGTAAATACATTTCCATAGCGACCAGTAACAAATACCCATAAAAAAAACAAAGTACCTTAAACTCTCACAGGTGTTCAGGCTGCACAGAAAAATGATCAACATGTCGTTGAGAAATTCTCAGCCAAAGAAGACCACCCCTAAAACTAACGATATTCTCAAACTGTTTGACCCAACTGCATCTAAACTGCTCAGAATTTGAAGCCCCAAGTCCACACCAGAGGTGCAGTGCCATGTGTCTTCAATCCCCCAATACCATGACTCAAAACTTTCAAATATAGAATAATATGAATTTATAACATGAGCTCGATGGACGAATTTTTCGCAGGATGCAGGATTTTTCGCTATTTTCCCTCAAGCCACGTTTACAGCGAGAGGATGGATCCATGACTAAAACTTCAACAAAATATTGAGAGAAGCAAATGATCTGAGGTCGATTTCAGGCATGACCCATGGACGGCTTGTATACGCATGTCATAGAGCGTCCTCATGACGTGAATTAAATTACAGCTCCTCCCAACCCCAATCCCAATACTTTGTATTCTCGAAATTGATTTTGTCGATCGATGGTGTATCGGCCCTTTGAGGTTTTGTGAGCTTTTGTTGCAGATACGCCATTGGTGAACCCGTTGAAATGCTGTTGTCCCCCTCTCTCCTTCCAGTTCCGCCCACTAACAAAAATACTCTCACGGCCTAGTGCATGCATGGCGTGGCGTCCATTTTGTAAGTCTTTATAGGATGCACCCAAGTAAATCAATTCCCATACAGACCAGTGATGAATACCCGTACTTCACAAATCTTTTCGAAATACTCAAAATTCTCACAGGTGCTCAGGTTGTACAGAAAAATGATGATTAACATGTCGTCTTTCATGGTGGGTTGACCAGTGACTTTTTGCGAAATTCTCAGGAAAGGCCACCCTAAAACGAATGACATTTTCAAAACTGGGAAAGAAGCCATTTTGAAAAATGATTCCTCCACAACATGACTAAATGGCGCCATTATCCGACCCCATTGCGTCAGAATGCTCCAAACTAAAGCCCCAAGTCCATGCCAAGGTGCAGTGCCATATATGTCTTCAATCTCTCAATTCCATGCCTCACAAAACTCTTAAATATTGAATAATTTGAATGTATAACATTTAGTCATGAGCTCGGTGGACGGATATTTGGCCTAATTACTGGGCTGCACCCATATGATGGACGTGAATATACCTCTGGCACACAGAGATTCAATTCGTATGGTTAGCCCGAAATCGTTTGGGTACTAGATTTCTCTAACTGCTAGGCACCCATATTTCAGATATTGGGTTGACTTGTGTCTTAACTCAAGCCCGATTTCGTAAGAAGTCCATTACTCACAGTTGTTTGTTGCAATGGGCGGGAGTGGGTAAACGAAACCCCTCCACTAAGGCGTCAATTATTTGACTTGCGGACATTCCACGGTAGGGATGGGCGCCTGAACAAAATAAAGAAAAATATGAAGAAAAAAAATGCACCACATACGAAAATGAAATATTAAGTGCAGAGTTCGATCCACAAATCTGTTTTTGGTTTGGAACATTCGCAATTCGCACAGAGCAAGTGGAAAAAAAAAACAAATTACGATTCATTCCTATTTAGGGTCCTGAGCTAATTGTGACTGACATTGTTATTTTGTTGCATTCCATGGCTATTACGTAATACGCGTACACGAAGTCCGAGTTTGCCGGTGGAACATCTCTTTCAAACTCTTCGAAGCATAGCCTGCCATCTTGGGTCCCCCATGACGCACGCGCAGTAAACGCACTTTTATGGGGGACAAGCTGCTTCTTTTGAATGTTTTCCGAGTTAAATCAGTGAAAATAAGTACTGTATTTTCTGACCGATCTTTGAGATTTAAAGATTTGTTTTCCCCTTGGATTGGCCAACATCCAAAGAATAATTGATCATTAGGGAAATAGATGATATAATTAAATATACAATTCAAACTGCAAAACGTTTTTGGGTATCCAAGATGGTCGATCAGATGCTTCAAGTCGAATTGACCAATGAGCAGCCAGTCCAGTTATTTGTAATATAATGAGGTCAGTTAAACATACCCAGAGTGACAATCTCCCACAGCAAGACACCGAAGGACCACACATCGCTCATTGTGGTGTACGTGTTCTCAACAAGACACTCCAAAGCAAGCCAGCGTACAGGAATCAATCCCTGAAATATTGAAATACAAATAGAGGTCAATAAAGAAATTGGACAATAACAGTTTTGGATGTTATGATTTTGGTAAGGGACACGGGATCGAAAGCCATGTAAACAAAAAAGAACATCCAGGTTGCCATGCAGGATACCAAATATATGAGCTCACGAATTGTCTGTACATTAAGAAATCGAGGTCCTATATCCACAAGCTTACACAATTGATCATGAATGACAGCCTAGACATTCTTTTTATTGCCTAGTATTCAACTGAAATGAATTTAAATGAATGTTACATTATATGTCCATGCTGTCATTGCGAAAAGGAAAATGTACAGTGTTTACAATACATTTAAATACAGTATGGCATGTACATATAGTATCAAATTATTTAACAAGGGACAACATTTAGGTTTGGGTGAAGCAGCAATCATTTTGTTCCCTAACCTTGTGACAGGCAAAGAGACAGACATGACAAAAGACTACACCATCATCATGAGTGTGCATGTAGGTGATCAGAGATACAATACAAAAGTAAAAAAAAAATGAAAATTCATGAATATGAAAAGTGTAAATTGTTGGCATTATAACGATATTTTATTGTGCTTATAGTGTTTTTTTTCTACCATTATTGAGGCAGTTAAGAAGACAGCAAGAGTCCACTGGTCTAAAGAAATTGTAATTATAGGACACTTGGCATGTTGACATCTAAGAGTAAGCGCATTCTAATGTTAAAACATATATGACTTCAACTCATAAAAAAGACGAGGCAACATAAACCTGAATTCAGAGCCCTCAAACGTGTACTCAATTGATTCCTAACTGCTATTAACTGGAAGTCCTTTCATACATGCGTGAATGCAATGGACCTTATTTAGCCCAGTTGTTAGCGTGATGGGGTAATCCTATATGACAGCACTACCCGAACCACAATTGACAGATATTTAGTGAGTAAGACAAAGAGGTACACAGACGTTTATGTTGGCAATCTCTTGGTCCAGCAAAAGAAACAGCTACCTATCAGTCCAGAATATGGAGGAGCATGGTCGTCGCGAGGTGGGGGGGGGGGGCAAGGGGGCAAAGGGGGAGAAAAAAGAAAAAGGCGCGAAGTCATATTTTGCTGTTAATTTTATGGGATGGTGGTGCAAATGTCCTTGCCCACCCTCGAAAAATGATAAATGGAGAGTATGCTGGACAAGTACATGTTTTTTTGTTTTGTTTTGTGGTTTTTTTGTTTTTTTTTGGGGGGGGGGGGACTTAACCCCATTCTGGAAAAAAATCCTGGCGACGCCCGTGTGAAGGAGGGATTCATAGATCCAACTCTTGATATCTTGCGAATTAAGTTAGTCTGGTTCAGTCAGAATGCTATGGTTACTTTACCAGGGATGTTCTCTCATACTGTTCAGTCTCAGAAACGTCACGTGCCAATCCAAAGTCAGAAAGTTTGCACACAAGGTCGTCGCTGAGAAGGATGTTGCGAGTAGCCAGGTCACGGTGAATGCACTGCAATGACAAGAGCATGAAAATTTGTCCTTACGCAACACATGGTACTAGTCTTCAATTTGTTGTCCTAGCGGCAATTGATCAACGTTTTGTACAACGTTTGGTACTCTCCTAGAGAAGACAAACTTTTACTCCAACTTTGTGCAACTCTTTGTAATATTTTCGAAGAAAATCTCAACAGCCACAATTGTTTTAGAAAAGCTTTTTTAGAATTTAAATATTATCGACCTTTTGCATTCCCCAGTCTTTCTTTTATTTGTTTGTAAGGTTATATTAATTTCGCAATACTAAATGCACAAGAGGTCTACTCATGCGTACATCTTCATAGTACATCTTCAAAGCATACATCTTCATAGTGGGCAACAGATGGACTTTATTTGCCAAAACACAGAAAATAAAGATTGGAGTTAGATTCTGCTCTGGGAGTTTGTCTTATGACGAAATGTTTCTTCTATTTCGATTTGACCCCACGTACCCCCATGGTGGAGAGGTAGTCCATTCCGTTGGCAATCTCAGAGGCAAATGTCAAGAGCTGGAAGGGGCAAGCAGGCTGAGCGCCCTCAACGGGATCATCTCTCCAAGCGTCCTTCTTATCCCTCAAGAATTTCTGTAAGTTGCCCCCAGATATATACTCCAGTATCAGGTAAAACGGTTCTGTAAAAAAGTCAAATAATAATGGCATTTTGGAATGTGGGCGAGTACAATACTATAACTGATATGGGTGTTACACGCTAATTGGCCAAAGCGCCTATAGGCTATATTAAAGCATCTACCCCTTTGGATCACCAAATGCATAGAGGTTTTTTTTCACTGAAAACAACGATCTCCCTAATGATAATAAGATATTCTTTGGATGCTGGCCAGTCCTAAAAACCTCAAAACCTGGTTAAAAAACCTCAAAACCTGGTTATAAAAGAAGTCTACATTTCTTATTTCGTCCCACCTTGACTCTGAAGAAGAACAAACAAAAAATCACTTGTACTGTGCTGACTTCATATTATGGGTGATCCAAGATGGCGGCCGCTGCTGGAATGCGTGGGAATTGTCAGTAAGTGCGTGTAAAGTATACAGCTCCCCAAAAGGTCAATCGGGGTGTATGGTTTATGAGAATAAATCAGGCCAGCGGAAACCAAACTGAAAGTGCGTCATCTATTCGTGATTTGTTAACCATTACTTTACAAAAAACGAAAGCAAAATATTAGTTCAATACCAGGAAATGAACGAGATGCTTAACACAGTTGTACCTTACTTTTGGCTTTCAAACACGCAATGTTTGTTGCTGAACACTATCAAACAAATGCAAGTCTATTGATTTGGCAAAGCAGATGTGTCATCAAGTAGAAAAGTGGTTTGGCAAACACTTGTGTCGTGCAGGAAATGTACAACATTATGCTTTTGCTGCAATTTTTGGAAATAAAAGGATTTGGACAATTATTATGTTGTAGAAAAAGCGGAATAACTAAATATGAAAAAAAAAGAATAAAAAAGTTTTCTCCAACGCTGGTCAGCGTTGGAAAAATCCTTTTTTCCTTGAAAATGTCAGCACACATGAAGCCACGATTTTACAATTTTGATTCAGATTGTAATTCACTAACAATCCAGTAAGGCATTTCGTGATAATTTGATAATTTCGTTTTTGATGGTCGCAAATGCTGTACATTCCCTTTAAATTGTTCAAACGTACACACGTTTAAAATATCTCAACAAAACGAAAATTAAAATTAATTGTGCTTGCCAAAACACGCATAACTTTTTAAACTACATTTTCCACTGAAAATGGATCAAAAGGATCGATAAAAATATATTAGGTTAAATATATCATGGTTGACTTACGCGTCTCCATGCAGTAGCCCAGCATGGACACGATGTTGGGATGTTTCATTAGATCCCTCTGAACCGCGATTTCCTTCTCGAAATCAGCGACCACATCCGCATCAGCCGACTCTGAAATAACCAAGAATAAGATTAAATTTTATTTTATTTTATTTCATTTTCCCTTTCCGTCTTTCCTATATTGATTTGTCGTTCTTAATCATCTGTCCCGACCATGATGCCGCTCTGTACAAAACGCTGAACGAATAGTCAATAAATGAGCTGAACTAAGTACCAAATGTACAAGGTCGACAACCATTCAAACCATATCTCCAAAAGGCAAATTATAGTCAACTGAATTCAGCTATTAAAACTGATTCGTTGTTTATTGTCATTACTAAACAGATGCACAAATGTCAAGCTAACAATTTGGGGTCAATATGTGTATATGCTTTGTCTTTTGAAGGCGTAATGGAACCTATACCCACCAAATAGAAACGAATTTGAAATCATTTGTATGATACATTGTACATACACCTGAGTGGAAAATTCACTAGTTCAGAGGCATCAGGGACAGGGACATTACCACACATAGGAAGTTCAGTGCATAAAATGACTCGCATAAAAATGAAGAAAAGGAATTCATACATTATTTTAGAACATGACAAACCCTCTACTCGAGTGTAAATTCACTCGATCCAACAATGACCGTAATAGCGTTTGCACTTAAGTTTCAGCTGTGAGTAGTATTTTTTTCCAATATAATTTCAGTCTAAAATTGAATTGTTTTGGCTCAGAATTGTCTTGTCTCTTGTTTCACTAATTGAGAATAAAAGAGAACACCCTTCCTTACTTTTGAGTATTTTGACGGCCACGTCTACTTTGATTCCCGGACAGTATATGCCGTCAGCCGTGGCTCGATAAACATGGCCAAAGTTCCCGCTGCCTAGCACCTCATGCAGGGCGATCCTCTCACGAGGAAAATCGTAGTCTCTCTGTGAGCGCCCGAAAGCCCCTTCGTCAGCAGCAGAAACCTCCTGGCGCAAAAAAAACACAAACGCGTTTATCTTAAGTTCACATTTCAACTTAATTTTGGGCAATCGAGAATTAAAAGCTATGCTTTACCTTATCCCTAACGTTGTTCCAGTATGTATTTTGTTCATTTATGATAAATATTGGTTTGAATGTAATTTCTATCCAATATAATGCATGTAATTATAACATCAATTTTGTATACGAGGAACAACGTTGAATAAATGTCTAGCAAATTGAATTGAAAAATGAAAGATAGACAATAATCAAAATGGAACATAACCTAAAGTTGTGATAATTTAATTATAGTTGGGATAGGAAAACTGCTGGCGGAGGACTTCGTGTCAAAAAAACCAATTGTCTGAACATTATTGTCTTAACATCGATAGCACAGCACCTCGGTAATGTGAATGCTGTGGCACGTGCTATGTGTAAATAAGTAGAACTGTATCCTGCCATCGATTTCATTTATTGTTTTAATTGACTTATTACTCAACAAAGTCAAAATGACCCGACTCTATTTGATCCAATCCTTATGAGGTGAAAAGATGACACTGTGTGAGATCAAAATGACACTCGACTGGATCATTTTCCGGGTCCTTAAACCGGAAACCTGGCAAAGGTGTCATTTGGACCCGAGAAAAGTGTTATTTTATCCTTAAAACAAATATAAGGCAAAACAATAAAGAACTCGGATACCGGGTCAACACCGACCAGAGTGTAAATCTCATTAAAAAAACCCAGATAAAACCATGCTTGGGATATGGGTGACCGAAATTCAATTTAAAAAAAAATCAATATTAATTGCAATTGACATGTGTCAATGTTGGCTTGAAATTGGCCTATCTTTTGTTCTCTACATTTTAAAAAGAACGTTGAATACATACCGTCAAGCTAACTTCGTTTGACGTTGCGACCTCCTCCTTTGTACGAGTCTGCTGGTATTTTCGTCTCCTGATGCAGAATATTGCAATGGCAACGCAGATTACAACAGAAGACGCAACAGGAATGATGACAACAGTGGGCATGATGGGAAGCCTTGTGACGTCACTGACTGGCTCCTTGGATGTTGACAGAAAAGTGGTCGCTCGTTCAGGAGTCGATGTTCCTAGATCTAAAGAAAAAAAATGCAGTAAAATGTCGGTTAGTACTTAAATCCCAAAATGTTTTTTTTAATTAATGTCTCGCAAATATGTTGGCCATAATGAAGCCTCCACGATAATGGAGCTATTGTCAAGTAAACTGCTGCTTACGAAACGTTTGTTAACTTCACAGAAGCCAAAATTGCGCTAAGTAACCAACCTTGGTTGGTTTCAGGAAGAGATGTCTTGAAAATTGATAAGGCACGTCATTGCTTGAACGGCAGTACTTGTTGCTGCTTGAAGTTTACACAGGTATTTATTTTATTTTTTTATCATAACACTTACTTACTGTTGAACAACTTAATGAAATGATCAAAAGCTTTCCTTGTGATTTTCTCAATTGCTGTGCTAATTTTGATTTCATTGAATGCCCACCGTAGGCCTAACTGTTTTTTTTAATATACACAAAACACTCCATTCATATTTCTCGGACTCTTTAAACCCCATCTCCGGCACTTGCACTTACTTGGAGTTTCAATTGACAGATACACTGCTACTTCTCCGTTATCTGGAAACACTACCCTGCATATTATTCTGCTCGAGGAGTGATTCTGTGTGATATTCAAGCAGATTTCAGTTGACGCCTCCCTGTACGTGTTGTTTCCAAGCTCCCAATCACAAGTACCCTTTATTTGGTCTTGTTGGCCCTCTTTTTCAATAAGCCACGTGATGTGATTGGCTGGATTTATAAAACCAGACGCGTTACACGTGAATCGGTAGAGATGACCAATCTTCACGTTAACATTGTCCTTGACTACTTTGGAGTTCATCTCAAGAGTGAGACTCGGCGCACGTTTGTCTAAAATGAATAAATTAAAAAGAAAGAAAAAAGCATTTCCGTTATTTGTTCTCTTCCGTCTGACTAATGGCTTATTTATTTAACTCTGACTAAACTTAATTGTTAAGACAGTTCATCCCGCTTACAGTAATCTCGTTGATATAAATTTTAAGAGACTGTGCGTAATTCACACATTCAATTAGTGTAAGTAAGGGGAATCTGCTGCGTAAAACACAGTATTTCAAAATGATATACAGGAACTTTGAGTAATAATTAATTGAACCATAAAAATAAAGTAATGTACGGTCGCTCTCCTCTAACATTATCATCACGTATTGAAGAAGTTAATAATAACTGTATACACATTCAAACGACCAAGGTTGAGATATCCAAACATTTTGACACTGATTTTGTTTTTATTTTGTAATTTTGTATTTATTTTTTGTATTTTTTTTTAATTCAAAAAAAAAAAATTAAAGGGAAAATACAACATTTGCAAACATCAAAAAATAAAACTACCAAATCATTTTACCTTGCTGGACTGTTAGTGAATGACAGTGTAAAGCATCCTGTAAAATCATGGCACCTGGTATACTGTCATTTTCAAGAAAAGTGGTAGTTTTGTATCAATTTCCAACGCTGATCGGCCGATCAGCGTTGGAAAAAAACTGGCTTTTTTTTCAAATACTGGCCCCAGTTGACCATCGCACTTGTTTGCAATCGATTACACCCCTATGAACGGGTACAAGCCAGCTAGACTGGTTCCCTGACCTTACAATTCCCCAATATATGTAAACTGCTCTGTTTCTTCTTAAATGGAGTCAGAAACCAGACTACAGGAAAATGATTGTTTTTCTTGGTTTTTATAGCATTTTCGAACCCAAAACCTCAAATAAATCCGTGTAACTATTTTTGCTATATATTTCCAACCTCCCAATTCCATTCATTTCTGAAAATTACAGCAAAAGCAAATGATGTATACTCCCTGTAACTATTGTCGACACACAAACTTTTCTTTGTGGAAGGCAAAAAGGTCGGTCACGAAAGTCAATATGCCTTACAAAATTGATAATTGTGCTGAAAAACAGTGTGTTCTTGTGTTTGTAGACTGTATTTTCTTTTGGCCCTATACTTGTTTTAACGATCGAAATGGTATAGCAACTTACAGACCACAAGGTTCAACGATGTGTTCTTTGAATCAAAGCCGGAGACTGTGCACATCAGAGTGGAATGTCCCCAGTGATGAAATGTAATATTGATGCGTTCTCTTGTTTTCATCACTTGAGTAGTATTGGATAAACCTTCACCGTCAAAAATCCAGCTAACATAATACTTGTTGTCGGCATCTGGTGGAGGTGTTGCTGCACATATAAACTCTGCATTTTGACCCTCTAAGTAATACTGGCTTGCCACCTTAGGACAAAGTGTCACATCTAAAGCGTAAACTGTTAAAAAATAAAGGCAAATAAAATATATATGTACTAGTCCAGCAAATCCAAATGTATAATATAAATAAAGATCCAAAATATGTTTTTCAGGATTTTTTTCAGCTAAAAGAAAATCATTTAATCTTTTTCATTTTTTCTCTAGGGCCATGGTGAACCCTTTAATGATTATAATCTTTAAAAAAAAAAAGACACAAACATAAAATGGCATGCATAATTATGTGAACATTTATATCGAAATGTGGTTTCCTAATGTATGGTTGTAAATGATTAACCTTCCTACTTATTTTCGTTCTTGTTAATCTTCTACTTCTAAATTGAACAATATTTCCATAATCTAAATCAACTGAACTTACCTGAGCAGCAGAGGTAGCCTACGAAAAATGGAAACACCGCATTTAAAACAAGATGTGCCATGTCAATGCGAAATAAAATGTGAAATCTATGAAGAAATGTCTTTCCAGTTTGCAGAACGGCGATTTATGCACGCAGGCCTAGTTTTAGCAGAGGTGTCATCCTGTGAAGTTTTACTTTCATAATGAGAGTAATGACTCTCAGGAAAGAAAAACACAAGTAATTTGAAAACATTTCCGCGTTGGCATTGCGTTAATGCATGTGCTGTGGTTGTTAATTGGGTTGTTTGTTTGGTTTTTTTTTAAAACAAAGTCACTTGCTCATTCAAATGTAAATGTACATCAATGGAGGTTTGGTTTTAGACGAGTTTTAGTGTCTATACCTGAGCTGTTTTGTTTTTGCAGATCCTCATTGTACCTGATTAACTTAACTTCACTTGTCAAGTAAAGTTGCTTCAGTCTCGCCTTGGCCCTAAAGTTTGAAATAGGATTGTCCCGTATTATAGGCCAACAAATGGGATACATCGGGTCTACTGTTCTAGACTTGCCTTGGCTTATTAGTTTCATATGAGAAACGGATTTAGAAAAAAAATCAACTCGGGGCCAAAGAGAATTCTTGAAGTGTATTGACAATTTAATATTAATTAATAATCAAGAACTTTTGTTTTAATTTTCTTTTTCGTTTTACGGCGTAGACCCATCTGGGGTCCTGGATTAAAGCACTAAAACAATGCAAATTGTGGGAAAATACATTAAAAACCGATTGGTTATTAAAACATGCATATAGTAATTTTTAGAACGATCATTTAAAAAGTAAGGTATATATACACAGAGTAAATTACATTAGTCCAAAAAACAAAGATTTAACCCTAAAGCAAGGGGCCGGGTTATCTCTCAGCCGGGAGGGGGGGGGGTGGCGGATTCCGCCCCCCCCCCCCCATCGAGTGACGAAAAATTTTGAAACTCGGCACATGCATAGAGCAACTCTTCCTAAACATACCCAAGAAATTTCATGACTATAGGTCAAAGGGTTTTGGAATTATGGCTAATTAATGATTCATATGTACTAATGGCAATTCTGCTCTGTGTACACGACGTATATACAAAAATTCAGTTTTCACGGCGCGTAGCGCCGGAAAATGTTTCGCTACGCGGCAACTCGTGATCCGATTTTTAGGTTTTTGGTATCAAAAGATGCGCAAAGCTCGAGGCTAAAAAGTCATAACAGCTCGGGTCGCGAAAAATTTTTTTTAGAGGCTATCACGGAAAATGTTGAGGGGATTCCGCCCCCCTGGCCCCTTCAGGGTTAACAAAATCTCCAATTATTCATATCATGAACCAACTAAATAAAGCAGTTAATCAACATCAATAATTAAATCAGCTGCATGTTTTGCTAATTTGACTTAACCGATGACAGCACTAAAACGACACTGTAAAAATGGTTCTCAGATTTTAAACACTATACCCTTTAGTTTACGTGAGGATTGTTTACGTTCCAATGAAACGGTAAGAGGCACTGGATTTTTAGGAGTCCACATTTTATTGTGACACTGGAAAAGTGTTTAATTTAAGACCAGCTAGCCATGTCTTTATCATCCGTTTAAGACCGGCCATGTGACGGGCTCTCGACCAATAGGAATAGCTAAACTGTCTGAGGTATTTATGAATAACTTATAAGAAAAGTCAAAAGTATACGGTTCGATTTCGTATACAGATAATAATAGCATTGTGATTAAAGTGTGCATTTAAACTGTCATTTGACTTCAACCCGATCAATCATTTACATTTACTTTTCACGATTTATACTTCATGGTACTAATGGGCTTTCGTTCGTCACACATCCATAAATCTTAACACAAAATGTTACAAGTGGGTAAAAAAAGAGTTTAAACTCTAAACCAGTTTTTACAGTGTACTTTGCGACTAGAACTGTATTAACTTCAATACAATATACATATCTACGAATTAAATAATCCGTTCCCCCTTTTCTGAGCCATCATCCAAATTTCAACTATAACATGCCATTGCGTGCATGATTTTCAAACCACACGTAATGTAATTTACCGGGATATTTGTTTATTCCCAAACAATTTTTCATCCCAAAAAAAGCCCAAACATGAGCCACACATCTCAGGATTTTTTTTTTGTCCATGCATCAATGAATAGATGCTGATATATGACCTCCGGCATGTTAACCATGTAGCTGGGACAATAGAAAAAACATAGAAATGTGAGTAGTCTTGATTCCAGGCTGACCTCACAGCAATATGGGTTTTAGATTGTGCACAAGTTTGTGTAATCCTTTCACCGCAATTCTGAGCAAGCACCTGAGGCCTGTCAAGTGACACTGAAGGACCTATCCTGATCCATACTAGGATCTTCTACTGCGTGACCTCCAGCATGTTTACTATGTAGCTGGGACAATCTAAAACATAGAATGTGATTGGACTTAATTCCGGGCTGGCTCAGAAAAGCGTTATACTTTCATGACTCGTATGATTAAACAATATACAGCTTACGAAGCAAGACATGGGCTTTTACTATGTACATCATGCTACATTTTACATGTGTTTTGTTTCTACATCATGCTTATATGTTTAAAAGTTAAGTTAAAAGTTCAGGTTAAGGGGCGGTGCATGCAGGCTGAAAACCCTCCAGCGTCGATTATTTACTAGCACCTGAAATCCATTTCATATAGTTATAGTTCTCCTTTCTCAATTACAACAAACATGTATGCTGAATACACCGAGTGGACATCATTAAGATCGACTGAGAACTGAATTCGGAATGAAATCAGGGTTCCCAACAGAAATTTGAATGAAATAATGAAATTCCACGACAAAATCAGGGCTTTCAATTACCAATCCCCTATCAGTCTTGGCATCTGAAACATAGGAACATACTCCGGTAAGCCATCACTCTGAGGCAAGGGACACCACACCCTTTCTGTCCCCCGGCTATACGGGGCATCACCCCCCCCCCCCAAGATTCTCCCTCGCAAGCCAAGCCCCCCCCCCTCCCCCCCCCCCCCCCCCCAGCTTTTCGTGTTTTTTTTTCACGGTAAAATAATGGTAGAGTCTGGCGCATATGGCCACTGAACACCACAAACAAAACATTGATACATTGTACGGAGCAAAGTACGTGATATGCACAAAGAGGAAATAATACAGGTTAATAAACTAGAAATAATATAGGCCTATACAATAGGCCTATAAAGTAAAGGCATATGTCAAGGCCTATCAGACTGCCATACCCGAATACGCATCATCATCATCATAGGCTTTGCACAATTCAATGATATTTTCCATGACTATTACTTGGAACATGCACATTCCATGAGTCACATGGGCGTCGCCAGGTTTTTTTTTTAGAGGGGACCAAACTCATTTCGCCCACCCCCAAATCCCTGTACATCTCGATTTCTCACTTTTCGAGGGTGGGCAGGGACATTTGCCCCCCCCCCCGACCCATATGAATGAACAGCAATATGATTTCGCGCCTCGTTTTCTTTCTTTTTTTTTCCGGGGAGGGGGGGGTTGCCCCCCCCCCCTCGCGACGCCCCTGATTACTCATAAAATAATAACAGACTTGCATGACCGTTCGTGAAAGTTTTAAGTTGCAGCATTTTGCAATTGTTAACTCCGAGGACCCATTACCGTTAACCCCGCCGCACACGAGAGCTACGTTACGTGCTCAGCACGTAGCTTACACAATATCCCCGTGTGCGGTGATTTTTTTTTTTTGCTGAGCTACGAGCTGAGCTAAAAATATTAACCAGCCAGTTTTTCGCCTCGCGATGCGATCAAGCAGGGCTGATATTTGCCTCACGGCCTCACGAGGCAGGAAACTCAGCAGAAATTCACCGCACGCGGGAATATTTTGTGAGCTACATGCTGAGCAAACGGCCTCGAATGACATTTTGCTCAGCACGTAACTCTCGTGTGCGGCGGGCTTTATTAAAGCAGCGGAGAAGAGATGGGCTACGTTAACATTAACTGGCAACAATTCAAAACAAAATTCTGTTTCCTCTTTAACTTCTGTTTCCAAAATTGGGGAAATTCCCTTAGTTTGATCGATTTTTGCTCCAATCGACAAAAGACTGTACATGACGATATAGCGTGAGATTTATTCAATCGAATACATCGATTTTTTACTTGAGCTTCCATTCGATTCCGATTTCTTTCAAAGTATTTTAATCTACTGATGACCATCCCCCCTCCAACCCCAATCGCCTCTTCCCTGGTACTTTCACTATTTTTGTATATTTTAAATTTTATTCCACAAATGGAACAGAGACAGCATGTGATACTGCGGCGTGCGCCCTAGTCGTCCTTTGCCCCGAATATAATAAGAACTAACAAATATATGTATACATGTAGATGTCATTTATACAACACAACATTAAACAAATCTCGACAATACAATATTAAGGCTTATATATCGTATTATGTTCGTAGTAATGTACAAGATTATGTTATCATTTTTTCCTAATCCAGCATAGTTTTCCCTTAACAAGGACAAAAGAACCCGAACCGGCCGCAGTTGACTACTTCTCTACCGTTTGAGGTTCGGATACCGCTTCAGGCGACGGTCATCTGCGGAAGAATGAAAACACAAGTTTACCATTATTTTGGAAAGTTATAATTTTCTATTTTCTCAATCTAAAACGCAATTTTAAGTTTGCATAATTATGTTTAAAAACAATCAGGATAGAACTATGTTTAGGTCCACTTAGTTATTAGTTATGGCCAAAAGCTCCAACGCAGATAATTTTGTTTCCCCGGACTCGACCGTTTTGTGAGCCAGAAAGCTATGTTTTCTATTTGGTGCAACATACCTTGTTTGTGCGGATTCTGATCTCTTAGAATGTATTGCGTTTGTGATAAACGTGCCTTCTTCGGTTTGACTTTGCGGTCTATTTCTTCACCTGTCGATTGTACCTCCATTTCGTCTTCTACAAAAATGATACGGACAAAGATACAATTATTCTCTCAGTCACTACTCACTCCGTCCTTTCTTTGTAGTTCTTTCCTGAAAGTTTCAGACATAAATGCCACACAACACAGAAGGTATATACCGCCCAATGCAGATCCTAACCCCAACACTACTAAAACAGGGTAACATTTCGTTGTTGAAATCATTATTATCTGCCCTATCGAACAGACGTATCCCTGGAAAAAACACGCTTTTTACATCACCTGCAACTTTCTCGTACTAGGGTAAATGTGGACATTTTAAGTTCAGATCTACAGCAGAAACTGCTTCCTCCAAATGTTAATGCCCAGAGTGCGACTACCAGGAAGAGAAGAGATTTAACAAATACGATGCTGTTTTTCCCAGTGCTATTACATTAATATTTTGATATATCTCACCAATTTCTTTCATTGCTTGATGCTCTATAGAATCTTCTATCTCTTCATTCTCGATGTCACTCTTCGAACCCATTGATTCATCATCGCTTGAAATTGGGTTCTTTGAGGGCACGGGTACTTCAGGATTGCCTGCTGTGAAATGTGGATCTTTCCAATTATTGGTCGATAATGGACTATCAGAGGGACCATAGTTATCACATGCAGTTTGTGTAAGAAATGGCGTATCTTCGGGAGTACCAATGTCGCTCATGGGTGCAAACGTATCACCCTTATACGGCATTGTTTGCGGGATAGAGGCAGCAGCAGCCCCTGTAGAGAAATGTGGTGATGCAGGATCATTGCATGTAAAAGGTTTCACAGCAGCAATGGGCTGTGTGGGATTCGGATGGTAGTTTAGTGAGGTAGTAGCTACATCGGGATCAGAAACGGGTGGGTAATCGACAAGAGACATCGTTGCGTCACTACCTACAAAAGACAGAATTTAAAGGGACAAAGATTACACTTTATCAAATGAGCAACATCAGAAGCGGAGATGAAAAAAAAAATAGTTTTGATAAACACTCCGCTCTCCTCCTGGTTTTCAACACCAAAACACGACTGACAGATGTTGGATTGAATCTCCTTATGACTTTCTCGAAGGTGACATTTTTGTTAGTAACTATACAATTCATTTTCCAAAACAAAGTGATGCAAGGTTTCTTATGTCCAATTGAAGGAAAAGTTATAGTGACACTTGGGCAGTACAAAAAGGACTGCAGTACTCTCTACCTCGTTCAATTGCCTTGTTTGCAGGGGCTGTAGGATTCATATGTTCGCAAGAAGGGGGCTCCGAAGATTTCTGCGGCTTCGCATTTTGCACAAACGTTAAACATGGGGATTTTTGTTCTCTCTTTTTCTTTGCAACTGGTATTGTTTTCAACAGTTTTTCGCCAGATACTGCGTTCAAATTGTCATCAACTGGTTCTGGTACAGATCGGAGTAGGCGGTCTGGGTTCGGTGGACTCGATTCGACAACTGATGGGATGCCTTTCGATCCACATACTTGCTGATCCACATACTTGCCTCAAAATAAATATGAAGTCGACTATACATCTATCACGGCTAGTTTTCCAACAACAAATATTCAAACTCATCAATGTTTGAAGCGCTCGTAAGCGCCTTAGTTTAGACTAGATTGCCAGGACTTCAAAATATATTTTGAAGGATGTTTCTAGCTAATTTACGAAACGGTGGTTCCAAAACAAATTGGAATTGTTGCGTTATTCACCTTTATCTGGTGTTAACCCATGTTCGTCTGTTTTGTGATTCTTCACTTCATTGTCTCCCGGTTGCAGCTGTGATTCTGACTGAGAACCAGTCTTGCCCTTCGATGTATTCTCATCGTCAGATGTGAGAAGAACTTTAACTGGAGACTTTGTTTTCCTTTTGGGTTCCACTTTAGGCTTTTCCTTTGATTTTGCTTTCTTCTTGTCTTTAAGCTTCCCCTTTTTGCCCTTCTGAGGGCCTGGTAACAAAGTATTGTCTCGTTCACTTTTGTCATTTTCAACTTTTCCTGCTATGGTTTGGTCTTGAGTTGAGTTGGATGACAGGTTTGGTGTATCGGTTGTCCCTCTGACATCAGGTTGGGCTGTCTTCACACCTGAAAAGGAAAACAAAAGCTATATTTGTAACATACCAAGCATGCAAGCCTAGCTGCGTTTTATTAAAATGTGCGAATCGTCCTCATGTTGTTTATTGACCTTGAACATTACCTTCCTCCTCATCAGAAATTTTCATTTTATCTTTCTTTTCTATCGTCTTGGTTCCTGTTTCAGCAATCTCGGTCGGTGCTTGTTCAGGTGCTGATTCCTGTTGAGGTGTCTCCTCTTCGATCACTGACGTCTGGCCAGGGCCACCTGTCTCGACGTCTTGAAGAGCTTGCTGCTCCTCAATCCTCTCTGTGTCTGTGAACGTGATAATGCTCAATGTAATGTTTTAAAAGTTCACAATACCAACGTGACAGGAACATTCATTGTGTGACTTAAATAGCACATTAATGATGAGTTATTTATACTTAACAGTTATCTAAAGTTTATGGCGCTCAAATAATATCAAAAGGATGAGTCCAGAGGATTCTGGCTCAAGAACCGGCATTGTTAGTTGTTTTTACTTTTGTAAATATTATAATACTCAATAAAGTACTCCATCTACTCCTTTCATTCTGCCTACTAGACATACACAATGAAGCTACCCTGAAACTTATTAGATATTTGTCCTGAATCCTCCAATTTCAACATAATTTTGCACACCCCCTAGGGAGTTAGGGTTAACTGTCAAAGAGTTCACTTGTTGCTGGTTCCAGAGGATCGTTGTAAATATCTTACTATCTCACTGACCGACTGACCCGTTGACTTCCTTTGTGAGCCCGGTAGTGTTATTGTATTGGATTACCCCGTAACACGAATGAATAGGCTAGATCCGGCCCATTGAGTAGGCCAGATGCAGACTTCTGGATCAATTTTAAAGAATTCTGTCTCGTCTATATCAGAAATAAATAAAAGAAGATGAGCTTGTAACCTTGGTCATCCTTGTTGTTTCTCTCGTCCCCCAGTACTTTGTCTTGCTGTTGTCCACCACTCTTAGAAGGTATTTCATCTTTCGGCTGCACAATTACTACAAAAGGAACTTTCTCTAGTTCTGATTTTGCACACTCAGAAGTAGAAGCCTTTTGCAAAACAGACTGTGTTTCACCTGCATGTGCAACAAAACACAACACAATATGATAGTGGGAAAGGCATTTCATGTTTTAAATTTTGCTGAATCGTCTCAGAAAACTATTTCAACAACAGAAGAAAAGAAACTTTCTTTTACCAGCTACACGATGGCTAGATTTCTTCGGTGGTGAATAACGTTTGGGTTTGGGCACGGATCTCCGTGCCGCATATGATGGTTTCTTGGATGTCACTTTGGCAGGTTTTTGTGACGAGGCCGAAGCTTTATATGGTGATTTCAGCCTTCCCATAATTCTGTCGAAAATTGTGATGGAATCGGAACTGTTTTGGATGTATATATTATATACGTCCGCGTTGGTCCTTGACGAAGAAGATTCTCCTGATGGATGCATAAAAACATGTTACTTCAATTATACACACTTTTTCTAATTTGGGCAATGCTATTTACCTACATTGGTATGAATGTACCTTATTGTTGGTTATTTCTGATATATATATATAAATCAACTATTGGAAAGAATTTGTCAAAGACTAAGGGCAGTTAGAAGTTAACAAACAGTGGTCTGAATCCTGGGCCATTATGACAACCTTTTAGTGCATTAATTACTTTAATTAAATTATTTTTGTTGTCAGGATTGTTCTACTGAAATGCCATATCGCCAAACTGATTAGATATGACCTGTCAAATTAAAGGAATTGGAATACTCAGTTCTCTCTTACCAAAATCTCGTGTTGGATTGTGAGTATTTGCTGCTGAGTCTACTGTCAAAAGTGCCGATTCCTCTTCTTTCAGATCTGACAGGGCAAAAATGTTGAATGCAGTAAGAGCACGCTTGCGGGTACATTATGTGACAGTTAAACCATTGCTATGACGTCACACTATTGTTAAAAGTGTGGATTCGGATCTACGAATCTCTTACACTGGTCACAAAGTGTGGATTCGGAACGAAGAATCTTTAGTAAAGTGTGGATTCGGAATTACGAATCCACACTTTGAAAACGTCGGACAATTGTTCTCCATAATGAGCATGAATAGGACCGTCTGAGTGAAAATTTGCTTTCCGAAAATTACCAATGCATCTTCACTGTCAGATTTTCCGCCGTCACTGCAAAACCTACTTTAGTCAGAAAGAAATCGTCGTCTCAACTATCCATTTTGACGTATGTGGCGATACACATGCTAAACACGCCAGGAAACAATGTTGCAACCTGACGCCACTCCCGCACTTGTGTACAACGTTTATGGAGAGTCATTTCAAGTATTTCCTAACATTTTGGAAACATTTATCAGTCCCAGATTCATGTCTTATTATCAATTTTGCAACAAATGGCCTTCATTGAGATGATAAATGAAGGAAAAAGTGGCGTCAGGTTGCAGCATTCTTTCTTATACTTCTGTTGACGCAATGGTTTAAGTCGAAGAATACACTCGCAAGTGTGGATTCTGTTAAGGAGAATACACGAGAAAGTGTGGATTCGTAATTTAAGAATTCACGAGGCGCGAAGCGCCGAGTGAGTTCGTAAATTATTAAACCATTGCTATGACGTCACACTATTGTTAAAAGTGTGGATTCGGAACTACGAATCTGTTACGCTGGTCACAAAGTGTGGATTCGGAACGAAGAATCTTTAGTAAAGTGTGGATTCGGAATTACGAATCCACACTTTGAACACGTCAGACAATTGTTCTCTATAATGAGCATTAATAGGACCGTATGCGTGAAAATTTCCTTCCGAAATTACCAATGCATCTTCCATGTCAGATTCTCCGCCGTCACTGCAAAACCTACTTCGAGTCAGAATCAAATCATCGTCTGTACTATCAATTGCCGACGGAAGGAGCCGGGACAAATGTTGCAACCTGACGCCAC